TGGACTGCAGTGAGCACGTTCTGGACATGAAAACCCAGGTGGATCTCGTGCAGGGATGATGGGTGTTTCTCTCCCATCTTAAGGAGCCCAAGTTGTGTGAAGGTCTCACCTGTACGTGTGTGGGGATGGTACTGACCCTCCGGAGGACATGCTCTGTTTACCATCGGAGAAATGAAACCCTTTCATTTCCATCTGGGAGGACTACAGAGGAAAATGAGTGAGAGAGAGTATCATCTTTGCATTCACAAATCACTCATTACTTCATATAAACACTTAAGCCAAATGTTTGCCCTTCTCCCCATCATGCCCATTTAAAAGAAGAAATATTTTTCAGGTGAAGAAAGTGAGGCTTGTAAGTGAAATAATCTGTTGGTATTAAAGCACCAAGCCAGCAGCACAAGCAAATACAGAACCTGGCAGTTAACTGCTGTGCTCTCTCTCCCCTATAGTAAGACAAACTTATGATATGAATCCATCAAACCAGACATGACATTAATATACCTACTCCAATGGACAAGCTTCACAACAGAGTGAAATATCTGGGCAGTATTCCAACTGTGTCTGGAGCTCACCACCCCTCAAGCACTCTGGGGAAACCTGTGTAAACATGTAATAAAACTGGAGACTCCAAACTGGATCAAGGCAGGATGTGGCTCCCTGGAAACAGAATGACGACCAGCAGCAAAACCTGAAAACTGCTGGCTCGCACTTTGGAGATGAGGGGAAAAGGGTTCCTTCATTTTAACAGCAATCCTTGGCTTGGATATTTAAGGATCCCAAACAAGCCACTCTCCCCTTTAAAAAGCAAGGAGTAAAACTTCAACGCAGGAGGGGTTACTGAATGCCATGAGCAGCACCAGGAGTTAATCCTTACCTCCCTGCTGGCAGCAAGAACAGAAGGCTGGGATCCAGGAGGGAGGATTCTTCGGGGAGCTCCTACAGGCAGGTTTTGCCCCTGAGGAAGCTGGATGGACTGTGGCAGAAGCAGGGGCTGCTGGCCAGAGCCGTAGCGGGGCAGAGGCAGCTGGGAGCCAGGCACAGGCATTGTCAGCTGTGTGACAAGGACATGTAGTTACCTTAATGGCAGTAACAGTCTTGTGTTTGACATGCTGCCTCCCAATACCCTGAAAGCACAGCCTTGCCAAAGGGAAGCTCCCAAACAGTGCAGTCTGGCACAGAATAAAGGCAAATGACTGTAACAGAGGGACTTTCACATGGAAATGGATGTTCTGGCAGGGCTGCCAACACCCTTATCAGCTGCGTTTTTAACATGCCATCAAGTTAACCTAACTGCCCTTAGATGGGGGCTGTCCTCCATTCCTAGAGCCCAGTTTTCCAGTCTTCCTCATGATCACTTCATGGGTCTTTTTTTCCTTTCATACAACGTCAGTGTCAGTGCAGTGTCAAGTGCTTTGTTTTCACGTTTGAAAATCTCCTACACTCTTACACCAAAACATTCTGAGGATTGGACCTCCAGAGAAAGGGATGGGGACTTAGGCTCCATGTTTCACGGTGAGCTTCAAACCAATGATGGACATAACTAAGAGCAATTACAAAAAAATACTGTAGCTTGGGGCTGAGGCACTTCCTGTTCCCCCAGATTTTCTCACAATTGCTGGATTTGGGAGGTTCTATCAACATTTTAGAATAAATAAATAAACCGATCTAAGGCTGGCAACAGAAAACAAGTTACTCGCTTATGATGGATAAAGCATTTCTTCAAATATTTAGTTTGCCAGTGTTCTCTGTATTTTCCTCACCTAAGGTTACTTTCAGGATTAACTCTTTACGTCAGTCACAACATAAAAATCCCTCTGAAACAAAAAATAAACCTTAACAAGTTGCACAAGATAAACGTAAGATGAGTTTAATAAAATTATCAAATTTCTCCAGAGAATCAGAGCACATGCCCACAAACACAGCTATGGTCACAGTAGAATTCAATGTTTTTATGTGAACCATGCTTTATTAAAACATTTTCACACATTGAAATTCCTGTTAGGATTCTGCCAAACAGATCAGCTGAAGTTGTAAATAAGACTTGGACGACAAATGAACTGAGAAGACGGATGGATGAGCCTTTAATACAAGTTCCTAGTTGCCCTGGAAGCTGAGGTGATGGGAGAGATGATTGGGATTTGGCTCTCAGAAGAGGTGCTTTTAGGACAACCATTGCATTCATGGCCTCCTATGCATGCAGCACTGGAAGGTCTGACTTCCAAGTGACAAAATGACGTCTCAGCAGGGACAGACAAGGTATGAGCAACCATCTCATTAAATAAGGTGCTGCATATGTGAAACCATGGTTCACAGAACAGTGTCTCGGGGAAATCTTCCGCCTCTTTACAAAGAGTTTAGTTCAGACAGACATGTTACAACCCATCCTCAGAAACAAGTGGCTGTGAATAAGCCTGGACCAAAGGAGTGGCTCGCCAGTCCTGCTCCTAACCTGTGTGAGCTGAGAGTCCATCATCTGGGAGGCTCCCATACCAGCCTGGTTTATTTGCCCCTCATAAACCAGTGCCTGGCTTCCGTTCATGGGCTGATAGGGGGACCCAGACTGGGTTTTCACCACCTCCAAGGGCTGCATGCCTGGGAAGGCGGAATATGGAGGTTTCAGAGCTGTGCCTCCTGTCAGGACCATGGTGCTGGGCTGGGACAGACTGGGGTGCATGTACACCTGAGACCTGCAGGAAAAAAACATGCTTCAGTCATGATGCACAAAACCTTTGGAGGCTGTACAAACACACCCTGCCAAACTGTATTTGGCCTGCCATCAGTTCTCAGACAACTAAACTGACAGCTTAGAAATAAGCTGTGATGCCACTTTCCATTTTAGTTACCAGGATTTTTTTACTTCCACTCTTAAGCTTTTACAACCACGTCCCTGTGTTGCCAGAATATTCAACTGAACAACATTGTGTAGTATCTAATATTTATGTTTCAATTTCCCACACAACAACTTGTGGATTAGCAGTGAAGGGAAGGTTCAGGTTACCTAAAGTCTGCAGGAATTTTGCAAAGCAGGAAAAAAACAGGAGTTAAAGATTCCAACAGCTCTAGCAAATAAGAAGGGTTTTTTTACACCTCAGTGTTTAGGCTTTTGAAGCACTAACTCAGATTTTTCAGTCTCATGCTCCCTACACTGGCACTGTTATAAGGGGAAGGAAACAGCATTTGAACAAAGAGGAAAGTGAAGATGAGTGTGGGGTATCTGACCACTGTACACAGACATGAAGAACATTAAGAAAGCAAGCCACAAGGAAAGGAAAACAGGAAGCATTTACCTGAAGGGCTGTATGGAGCTGTACATCTCCTGGGACTGGGAAACCGGCAGACCACCCCTCAGTCCAAGCTGAGCTTGGGCCTGTAAGGATGTGTGGAGGGAAATGGGAATCTGTTGAGCAGCAGCAGCCTGCAGAAGAAAGTGAGTATGACTGAGAGGTACAAGAGGAGTCAGAAACTCTCCAGGGCTGTTAAAAACCCATCAGTTTCCAGCATGAGTCAATCTGCAGTGACAATTACCTACACTGGGCCTTTGGCCAGCCCTGCATCGTTCCCCAGATCAGCAGCACTGCCAGGGAAGACACTGCCCAGGCACCCAGAGGTTGATGCCTACAAGAGGCATTTGATGAACATGAGTGAACCAACATGCTCTTCACATAAAAGCAGGCAGTGACAATCCCAGCTCTCACCTGCCTGTACTCCACCTTGAAAGAGCTCTCTCCAGCCCTATCAACATCTTATTTACTAGTGAAGTTACTCATTATTATTGACTGGCTGGGGAATTCACTGAAAGTCACTTCCATCTCACTCAGGCCTCAGCATCTGCTTCAGTTAAAACCAGTCCAAGGGCACTGGTACAGAAGAGGAAGAGCTCCTAAATTCCCTCCCTTCAGTTCCACTAACCCCTGACACCCACTGGGAAGAAGCATTCAAGGAACCTAAAGGGAGACTGGGCTATGAAAGTGAAAAATTACTCATTGTTTCTTAAGCTGTACTGCTCCCTTACCTGTTGGTAGCTTTGCTGCTGAGGTATTGTCTGAGGGACCAGGCGGGGCTGACTTGCAAACACATGGCCATCCAGATACAGGGGTGGAATATGGTTACCTGGACATCAGAAAAGGCAGGCTGTAAATTCAAGGTACAGGGAAGATACAGGCACAGTAGACTGCAGAGATCTGCAGGTCAATACTATTTCCTACCTTTCAGCAATTTAACAAAAACATAGTACCCATTCAGAAGAGTCTGTAAAGCTCCTAAATCCACATACCAACATCAGCAGTAGTAGGATTGCTAAGAATTAATCATACCTTCCTGTCAGAGGCTCAATGTAAACCCAGGTTTCCCACCTCCACAAAAGAGTCAAGACACTAGCAGCTCAGAAGCTGGTAACCTGTACGCTGATCTAAATGCCAGAAACCTGCTCTGCAATCATCTCATCTTTACAGCTAACACAGACAGAAAGAGCCAATACAGCATTTAAGACCTTGACACATGAGATCTAAAAGCCATATTCACCCCTAGAGTGGGACCAACTAGTAACTGCTGTGCCACTCCTGTGCTTTTGTGCAGATATGAACCACAGAATTTAAGCAGGAAGATTAGGGTGGTTAGGAAGGAAATCACCTGACTTGGAACAATCTGTTTATCAAGGGGAAGCTAATAACAGTCACTACACATGTCACTCTGTTCCTGAACTGAGACATGAGAAAGACAGTGCATACATGAGAACTCCTTTGGGACCCAGGAGTCATCCTATGGAGAGAATCCTGGTACATTTCCTCTTTCCAGATACTCTCCCTAATTACACACACTAACATAACTGAGTTAAGCTTTTCCTTTAACTAAAATACAGCAACACCTTCCCCCCTCCCAGACTTCTGTGAGCTATAAAAGCCAGTTGTCGTTTTGCTAAAAGCAAAGGGTGCTCAGAACCTGTGACTTCACAGGCAAAACAAGCAGAGGAATGGCTGATAATGATATTGGGACTGTTGAAGCCTCTCAGCCAGAGGTCTCCTCCCTTCTATTCTACTGGGCACACAGTAAAGGGTAAACAAGATCTATTGAGACATCAGAGAGAGACTCGCCACTACACAGGGAGCGCTGTCTTAGTATTAAACTTTCACCAGTCACATTCTTCAAAGTGTTGAGACAGTCCCTCTTTCTGTCTTGTCTGAGTTGTTAAGGATCTGTCAAACACCATCCAGTTACTCTACAGAGAAGCTCTTCTCACCATGCTCTCATCTACCAGAACCAGAGCATGACTCTCAGATCAGACACAGCAAATGCTGCTGCAGTTTGCAGGTACCTGGAATAGATGCAGAAGGTGCTACAGAGGCAACAGGCATAGGAGGCATAGAAACTCCACCAAAAGAGCTGTAGCTGACACCGTTGGAAGCTCCAACACTGGAAGGAGGCTGGATGCCTGAGCCTGCACCTCCTGGGGAGTTCTGTTCTGGTAAACTCGGAGAGTTTTCCCAAGCTTTACGAGCAGACTCCATCTATGGAAACAAAGAACAATAACTACAGACAGTTCAAATGGGGAGGACATTACCAAAGCCTACAGTTGCTCATCTGTGTCCTATGAGCTCAAACTCCTTGCATTCTAGGCATAGTGGAAAGCTTACCCATCTGAGGTCAGGGGGTTCTACAACTATTTCTAATGGACAAAAATCCTTCACGAACACTCAAATCCCTTGGTATTTGCTGAACTTCTTGGGTTTGGGATGGAGGTGGTTTTTGGTTTGGTTTATTTGGTTCTATTGTTGTTCTTGTTTGTACACTTCGGTGGGTTTTGTTTGTTTTTTCCCTCTCTTTACACTACCAGGCTCCCCAGTATCCCTGAGCAGCCACGTTACCCAGTGTGAAACAGAAAAGCTCTGTTGCACTTGGTTTTACAACTGGCAAGGACTTCCTGCATTCAGGACTTAAAACACACACCCCTACACTCATGTTGAATAGCACATATGCACAACTTTTACAAAAGCTAATTAAAGTTTAGCAATACCTAACAAAAAATACTCTGGGAAAGATCTCCCCACCCTCAGTACTCTGCCCACAGAGACATGGCATCCACACACCTGCAGCTTCCTTACCTTAAGAGTAAGGTCTGCAGTGGGGAAGGACATGGGGTTCAGGCCAATGCAGCGCTGGAGGTGATGATCCCTTCGCAGGATGGGAATGGACTGTGTTAACCCTGCCTGAGGGGAGAGTCATAAAGGTGAATATTTGTGAGCTCTTAGGAGAAAGGTATGAGCCACTAAGGTGACAGAGATTCAGCTGGGCAGTTCCAGTAAGTGCACATCAAAGAATTCAGTCCCCAGGGGTACTGCAGGAGCAAAGTACCACGTTCAACTGGGGTTCATTCTGCTCTTGCAATAGAAGAAGCTTTGGTTATGTGCAAAGACACCCCTCTATGCTGAACTATACCAGCTTCCACTTCAACATCAGTTTGATCCAGTAGCTTCCATTTGCAGAAGAGTTCTCCTTCCTGTCCTATATTTAGAAACTACCTAAATTTCAGACAAAACCTGTTTCTGAAAAGAAACACCCTATAAGACAAATCTCCAAAATCAAAACCAGACAGCCTACAAACCTGAAGACATTTAGTTCAAAAGCAGCTTTGTGCATGTGTCACATTGCTGTCTACAGCTGAGCTACCAGCTGGGCTTTTAGTGTGCTCACTCTTTCACATAGAATAATGAAATACCCACATGGCTGGAATAAGCTGGAAAACTTCTAAAAAAGGTCTGACCACCATGTTACAGTTCTATGCCTTGCTGTGGCATGTGAAACCTTCTGAGGAAGCTGGGCAGTCTGGGTCTAAACATGCCACCAACTTCATCATGGCCATGTCCAACACTTGTGTGGCTCAGGGGAAGAGACTGCTCATCTCAGAGATGGCTTTACACAGGTCACAATGATGATGAAGCTGCTGTCTACATCACTTTTGCGTTTGTGACACTAATTTACCAAGGTATCTTGAGATTTCCATTTTGGATTTCAGTGACATGTGCTGCCTAAGCATGAAATATGAAGTCAGATGCAGACATGCTTGCTCTCTTTGGAAGCATCTAAGGAGTACCTCCAATGAATCAATGTCAAAAGAAAAAAAAAAAATACTTACATTACTGGCCAAGGCATCCTGCAATTTGGTGACAGGGTTAGCTGCAGTGCCAGAGGCAGAACCAGGTGGCAAGCTGAAGTCAGAGTCCTGAAAAGTCAAAACACATAAAATTCAAATCCAGGTCCATGGGCCAACCCTTTGCTTTTCATGGTTAATGATTCTAGCCTGAATTATGACACTACAAACTAAAGACTGATCTCCAGTAAGCCTTGCTGGAAACAGAAAACAATTCTCAGCACTCAGCAGCAGGCAACCCCCAGAGGCACACAAAAGCTTGGCCGTGATTTTGTCCCTCACCTCTCTTACCACCCCAGCTGTTCCTTGGGACACTATTTCCAAGTGGATACTAAATGTTTGCCAGGACATCCTGAGTGCCTAGTCTGTGTCAATAATGAAATCTAAGGCAAACCTACAGCTGGAAGCTTCCTCTAAATAATCCTTCTGCCTCAAACCACTTTTCATGCCTCAACAAGATCAAATCACCAAGAAGATAAAATTAAATTCAATCCTCACTTTAGGATTTACTCCAAATTCAATGGGTGGCACAGGAAGTACAGAATCCACGTGAATTTCCACCCCATTAACAGGGGGAATATTCCCTTCCAGCCGTTCCGTTCCCTCCGAACCCTTTCTGTTTTTCAGGGAGCGTTCGTTGCCGATTGGTCCGGGCTTGTGTTCCTTGTTCTGTCCTGAGCCTTGATCTGAATCCTTAACAGGAAAGCAGAGAGGCTGAGACACAAAGACCGAATAACCCAACCTCAAGCCTTAAAAATGCTATCAAGAACAACACAACCACTTCACAACGTCTCTCACTCTGCGCTCTGGCTTGGCTGCGAATCCAGATTACCTTTTTATCAGTTTGCTTCTGCACTTGCTCCTTCTGGCAGTCAGGCTTTGGGTCCACCAGGCCAGCCCCATTCATCTCCTCTGGTTTGAGGGTGCCATATGGAGAACTGCGCTGAGAGGAGGTCGCGGAGGATTCCCGAGACTCCGCGCTCAAGTCAATGCCACTATCCCCCTGGCTGCCTTTAAATCCCTGCTATGCAAAGCACGAAATGTGTTAAAGCCCCGGACTCAGACCCAGCACCACCGAGGAAAAAACATCCCAGAAAACAGCAAGACCACGTCCCTTTTTCAAATCACCATCCTGGTTAACTGCAAAGGAGTTGGGCCTGACCTGCAGCACCCCTTGGCCGCTCACTCAGCTCCACACAGCCCTGAGACAGGTGAACTGATGCACCAACCAGACTATGGCTTCAGCATAAGGAGATGTGTCCCACAGAACAACTAGGCTGAGACTGCCAGACTCACTTCACATGTGACACAAACCAAATCTTGAACTCTTGGTCTCCAGAGGTGAAGTGTTCAGGAACTCTGCCCTCCCTGCATTAAGGCTACAGCTACATGCTGCTCACAGGCACAAGGCACAAACAGGACCTAAGGGATTCCACCCTCCTCGACCACAGTGTGCACCCAGTGATGAGCATAACCCTGGAATAGCTCTATCACACAGATACTCCAGATTTATACCCACACACAACACCAAGCAGTGCTTGGCTCTTTAGGTCAAGATCTGAACAGTGTCAAGCTCAAATTAAAACTGCAAAGAGACAGTTTAAAATGGCACAAGCAGAGCTGAGAGTTGCTAAGCACAGATGGAGCAATGAGAAGCATAAAAGCCACCTGAATTACTACTTAATACACACAATACCTTGAAGGGCACCTTAGGAGCCACTTACCTCAGTGCTGGACTCGGTACCATTAAAGGTATTTACAGGCTTGCTCCAGGAATCACTGCCAGGAGACTGAACGGAAAGTGCTGGAAGAGAACAGAGGGAAAGGTCCAGCTGTTTGAAACACAGCTACGAGCACACTCCACACACATTACACCATCAACCTTCTATTTCTAGACATAAGAAAGGGTATTTTCACCATCTCAGAACCTTAAGCATTGCCCAGACACCTGAGACATGATGCAGCAAAGAATCCAGGGTATGAGGACTGACAGTAGAGAACAGGGAGGAGATTTTTAGGGAACATAACAGGAGAAAGACAGGTCAGAGAGAAACAAGGGAGGCACCAGCTGCTCAGGACTAGAGATGAGAAAATGTAGGAAAGCAAAATAAGAAAAAAGTCTCAAGTAGGTCCAGCCCAGGCAGCTATAAAATGCTGTATAGTAGGATCTTGATGTGAAACAAAGACCCAAGAAGCAGATCAGGAGACTGACATGGCCAGCAACAGGAGCAGGATGGCTGAACAGTAGAGCTTAGAACAAAGGCTACTCCACATGTCAGCCAGCCCACCTCCCCCCACCACTCCCAGCATCACACAGGAGAGGGTTGTCTCCTCTGAACCATGGACCCCATCCTTGCTGCACACCCCGGAGGACTTCAGCTCTGTGAAACCCTTTGGAACGAACAGACCCAAGCCTACCTGGGCTGTTGCTCTCCCAGATCTCTGTGCCCAGGCTGTTTCCAGACACTGCTACATCACCCTGCTCCAAGCACAGGCCGTTCTGCTTCTTGGCAAACCGTGGTGGAATGCGCGACTGAAGGACGCGGGCCTTGGCTGGTGCCTGTGACAGGAAAGGCACAGGTGTCAGACTGGGAGGTTCCCCCAGTCTAACAGGGCTGGAAAGAGCTGCCTTTTGCACTGTGAGGTTTTCTTCTGGCGACAACACAGTCAGAGTGCAAAGTCATCCACTGCTCCTGTTGCCCAATATCCCACTAACTACAGCCAGCAGCTGGCTTAGAGAGCTAAGCTGCTTTGGATGAAGACCACTCTAGAAACTTAATTCCCAATTAACAATTCTGCTGCAAGCCAAGAACAGTCAGAAACCAAACTCTCCTTTTCAGACCAGAGGCCCCAAATATGTTTCTGGGGCCCAATACAGGATCTGTACTACTTTGTCACTGTCAACTGTATGTTTTTCTGTTCATACAAACACTTTCTGG